TTTTCCCTTTTTGCAAAAAAAATGCAAGCAAAAGAAAAAAAAACCCAAAAGTTTTTTCTATTGAAGGTACATCTCTTCTTCAATATGAAGACATTAACTGGATTGCGTCGGATCCCCCATGCAGTGGTCAGCGAAGTCCTTTGGTAGTTGGCAGAGCGATACCTGGACACCACGGTCAGCGGCTGCAGAGGCTTCCACCAAGCCATGAGCAGAGAAGGAAGCAGGTCAGGAGGGAATCAAGGAAGAAAAGAAGATCAAGGCGGTCGCTGCCGGAGGCTTCTCTGGATGGGAAACCCAATGTGACACCACTCCCTTCCCCAACAGCCCCTGCTTCTTCCTCCTCAGTTTTGACTACTGCTCACTGGTGGTGGGATTGGAGTCTGGTCTCAAGGATTTGGGTTTGTTTCCCCCCCAACGCACGTTGGTTTGTCTTCATTGTTGGTTGGGGTTTGTTATTTTTGTGTGTTTTTTGTTTTTGTGGTTTTTTTTTTTCATTTTTTTAAATATATGATTTGTACATATTTATACTTATTTATACGCTGTCCCCCGTGACATCGGTAAGTGTGCTTCTGTTGGTGAGGGATGGAAGTCACCAGGCCGAGGCGAGTCCCACGAACATCCTCCGCAGTCCAGCCATGGCTGCCTTTCTCCAGCTGTGGCCCCACAGCTCCCATCAGTTCCTCCCCTCCCACCTCTGCTGCCTGCCCTCCCCATTCCCTCCCCGTCGAGCGAGGGACATCACGCCATCGAGGTCGGAGACTGACTCATCTGCACACGCATGGACTGGATGCTGTTCAGGATCTTCTTCTGGTGCCCAGCCAACGTTACTCCTATTCTCAGGAGGTCTCTGCAAGACAGACAGAGGGATGTCAACAGACAGCTGTGCTGTCCGGTCCCACAAGCCAGCACCCACGCGGTGACACCAGACTTACTCAGATGTCATCTGGGCGACCAGCTGGAGGGAGGTGAATCCAGCGCTCAGGAAGTTGTCTCTATACTGGCTCATCTTGACAGCGCTCAGCCAGTCTTCTACTGAGGTAAAGGCAGTGAAATCAGGGATAGAGCGGTCGAGGAGGGGCTGAGAAGGCCTGCAAGGGAACAGAGAGGCATTGAGGTGAGGACACGATCCCTGAATTCTGGTCCCGCCAGAAGGCCAGATGCAGCACCACGCTCAGGGACTCACACAGCGGTGATGGTAGCCACAGTTTTGAGGCTTGCCGGGTTGCGGATCATCTTGTCGAGGGTGTTGACAATCTCGGCGAAGCGAGGCCGGGTGTTGCGGTCCTTCTGCCAGCAGTCCAGCATCAGCTGGTGCAGAGCAGCCGGGCAGTCCATGGGCGGCGGGAGCCGGTAGTCCTGCTCGATGGCATTGATGACCTGCAGGGCACAGAGCGGTGCATGAGGAGCACGATGGCACGGGGACAGTGCTGCCAACCCGCAGCCACCAGCAAAATGAGCGGGAGGAGCTGCAGCAGGAGGTTAATCTCCACTCTGATGCTCCGCACACCGCAGTTCCTCCCGGCAGAGTGCTGCCGCTCATTATCTCGGCGGATTGCGTTGGAGTGCGGCAGTCGCACTTCCAAAGCTCTTTCCCAGCTTGCAAATCCTCTGAACATTTTCAAAGGCGCCGCAGCTTCCTGAAGTCCAATTACCAGCCCACTGGCTTTTCTTTCCAGATTCCCTCCCGCCATCCCTCTCGCTCGCCAGCCTGTTTCATCTCAGAAACCGAGAGCCGCCGAGGCTGCGGAGTCTGGAGCAGCTCCAGCACCTCAACCTCATCATTTTCCAGTAAGGCAGAGCAGCGAGCCCCCAGCACTTACGTCCTGGTTGGACATATCCCAGTAGGGCCTCTCCCCGAACGACATCACCTCCCACATGACGATGCCATAGCTCCAGACATCACTGGCTGACGTGAACTTGCGGTACGCAATCGCCTCTGGTGCTGTCCATCGCACAGGGATCTTCCCACCCTGAGAAAACAGGAGCTGGTGAGTCACAGCCATGCCCAAAACACCTCTGTGGATTGATGTTGTAATTCTCGGGGGACAGCAGGGAAGGGCTGGCTGGCTCTGAAAGCCCCTACAATGGCACTGCCACCCAATTCCAGCAGGAAAACTGACAGCATCCCAACCCCTCTGCAGCCCACACATGCATTCTGCTCAAGACAAAGAGTGCTTCATGGTCACCAGTGCTCCACAAAATGACAGCAGAAAGCGAAAAGATGAAGGAAAAAGCACAGAAACGCGTGGTATGTGCCCCAGGGCAGAGCTGCATTGTAAATTGTTGCGCACTATTGTTTTCCCTAGCCCTTCCAATGAAGCATCAGCTGCTCTTTAAGGCTGAATGGCAAAAAATTTTATTTGAATAACTATAAATGGAGAAATTAACTGCTAGGTTGTTTTTCCTGCCTTTCCCCCAGAGCTAAAAACCTGCTGTGGGAGGCAGAGTGATGTAATCGCAGGCACAGCATCATTTCCCAGCTGCCGAGGAGATCTATTATGGCCTAAATTAAATAAAAACACAGATGAGATAATCTCTTTTATCTCTGAAGGTAGAAAAAGGCTACTTCAGGCCTCTTCTCAGTTACTGCTGAGGTCTTTACACCAAAACCTGATGTGCTTCTTCTCAAAGGCCACCAGATGGGTCTGAGCAGGGAATGGGAGTTGACCAGAGTCCAATCAGAAACCCAGCAGCTTCCTTTGCTCCCCCAGCAGAAGCATGGATCTCTTCATCCATTTACTTCAACCTGATGAAATCCCAATTGCCTCATCTCCTCGGGGTTCCTGTCACAAGCTACATTACATTGAAACACACCTGGGCACAGCCTGGCAACACAACAACTGCTTTGCAGGGGTCCTTGTAGGACATGCACACTCTTGCACCCAACCTATGCTTCTCCTCACTGTCCTGGTGTCTGCCTGTAGTACATGCACTGCCTCCAGCCTCCCCCGAGGCAGGATCCTGCCATGTGTTGTACTGCTGTGTTATGAAATGTTTACAAAGCGTTAGGAAGGTTATTAGCTCTTTTAATAACTGATTAATCAATTAAAGAGCCCAGCAGGTCAGCAGGGTGCTCACAGCCTTCTCATCTGCTCATCTATAACACCAGTGACAGCTCACCAGGAGATTTATGTGGTGCATACAGTACCTAGTGATGTATCCCTGGTCCCACCTAATGCCTTTGTTAGTCAGGATAGAGCAGAGAGGTGCTCTGGGAGCAGGGAGACATTAAACTCGTAGAGAAGGAATGGAAAAAAAGATTATACAAGGAATGTCAGTGGCCCCTTCCCAAGCAAGGCAGCAGCAAAGCAGCAGATCCTTCCCTGCTGATGGAAGGAAAGCAACAAGAGGAAGTAAGGGGTGGATGAGGGCAGGACTTGCCTCTCTGAGCACCACCAGCAGGTGCAGTGAAGCACAAGTAATGCCGCGCAGATCTTTGCCATTTTTAATGAACTGAACTCAACAGGAGGCTCACAGATTTGCCACTGTGGGAAGCGAGGTACATACCAAGGAACTGGTGTAGGTGGGATCAGACGTGTCATCCTGCAGGTAGCGTGAGAGGCCAAAGTCTGACACTTTGCACACCAGGTTGCTGTTGACAAGAATGTTCCTGGCCGCCAGATCCCTGTGGACGTAGTTCATCTCTGCCAGGTACTTCATCCCAGCAGCAATCCCTCTGAGCATCCCCACCAGCTGGATCACCGTGAACTGCCCGTCATTTTGCTGTGGTCAGAAAGAGCACATGTGAGGATCATGGAGGCCTGGCTCCCAAACCCTGCAGCCAAACGATAGTCCACTTTGCCTCACCCGCAGGAATGAGTCCAGGGCCCCATTCTCCATGAACTCTGTGATAATCATGACTGGTCGGCTCTTGGTCACCACCCCTTCCAGCCGGATGATGTTGGGGTGGTCAAACTGCCCCATGATGCTGGCTTCGCTCAGGAAATCCCGACGCTGCTTCTCTGAGTAGCCAGCTTTCAGTGTTTTGATGGCCACGTAGATCTCCCGCTTGCCAGGCAACTTCAGGCGGCCTTTGTACACCTCTCCAAACTCCCCTGCAAGAGCAAGACCACCCATTACCATCCCTATACATATCTGCATAGAACAACAGCACCTGGCCATCCAAGCCAGTTGACTGAGAAGCATCAGCCAGTTGGCACCCATGGGTGCTCCCTTCTACAGACCTCCATACTCTTTAAAAGATGCTGAGGACGTAGCTGGGCTTCCAGCCTCCTCCAGGCTGGCAGAGCCCATTGCTGGAGTCAGGAGCTGCCCGTGGGAATTCCTCCAGGAAAAATTGTACAACAAAGGCACCAACTTTTAAGGACTACATTAAGTGCAGGGTATGAGCGCACTGACAGCCACAGCCACCTCTCTGCACATAACTTATCTAGGAAGGGAAAATAATTGGGCTGTTTTCATCGCTGCGCTCTGATTTAGAACACAGAAAAAGCTCCCTCTCATTTCCACTGGGAGAGCTTTTCCTCCACCAAGGTGAAATTTGTCTGTGGAAGGATTACAATTAAGCCAGGCTTAGAGTTGCTTTGCCTTGATGAGCAGCAAAAGGCAGCCGATACGCTGCCGAAGTTGATCCTGACTGAAACAGCTCACTGCTTCTTTGCAGCTTCCCCCCAACTTCACACTTTCCCTTCTATGAGCATGACACAGTTATTTAAGAACTGCAATAAAGGCACCACAGATGATATAGAGACACATGTATGCATGTGTTCCCATACATATGTATGGGAATATGGCACAGGCTAGAATGAGATCTGTTTTTTTCTTGTAATCTCACGGAAGTAAACCAGGAAATCCCACAGCTGCCCAGTGAATACATTAGAGTCTTCCCAACCATAGAGAAGTTTTGAGAGCAGAAACCAACCTCATGTTCCCTAATCCACCAAAAGCCTGATAACCCTTGAGAATTTTGCATTTCCCAGTGAAGGATCACATGTGC